ATATATATATATGTACATATGTATATAGGGGCTGTACAGACATTAAGGCATCGGTTAGGTTTTCTCATCAGACATTCATTTTAAAAATAAATAAAATATCTGATCTATATAAAGTCTCATAGATATTTATATATTATTTCATCAGTGTACCTTGGTATCTTTAATCCCTGGGCATCTTTATAGTAGGTTTTGCTGAAAAAAACTATATGGAAGAAAAAACAATAACTGGGGAAGAGTGTGTGATCCATAACCAATGCCTGATGATACACTTCATCTTGCTCTATAAATATTTTCCCTCTTTTTACCACACACACACACACACACACACACACACACATATACTCACAGGTTTTTCATAAAACTACCACAATGAATGATTCCGTTTGTGGATAAGATTGTTTGCCATTAAATGACTATCTTTGATTCTGTGCTTGTGCCAAAGTTGGGTCACAGGAGAAATGGCCTCTGAAAGGTTTGGGAACAGGACACACACGTGCGCACACACACACTTGCTGAGTCACCGGCACACCTGTCCTTACTGAAGCAGACTAATGTCATGCATAGATGGTGACATGCTTGTATGCTGTTCGTGTCCATGTGCGTCCACGGGGGGGGGACATAGGCTGACAGCAGTCCTGACTGTCTGTAGAAGCCTGTTGAGGGTGAAGAGGATGAAGAGGTGAAGAGGCCAAAGTCAGAGGGCGAAGAAACCTCTCAGTCTGAAAGAGACAAACGAGGAGAAACAACGTCAAAAATGATCATACGGCGTTACAGACCACAGGGTGAGCATTTACAGTACACTGGATCAACTCATCAAACATCTGCAGAAAGTCCTGACACACAACAGAAAAACATAAATCGAAGTTCATAATTTACTGCCGCAGCTAATATTTACACAGCAGCTATCTATAGTAAACGCACTCAATCGACTAAAAACAAAACAAAAAAAAGAACAGCATCAAGCCGACTTCCTTTAGCTGTGGTTCATGAAAACAACATAAAACTGAAAATGACTCCAAAAGATAAAGGACTTAATTCATGGAACTGATCTTTGACCTTTAACGCTCTACTGCACATGTTATCAGTACAAACATACAGCCAATGTTATTTTACCGCGGTACACTCCTCTGGATTTCCAACAGAACATTTTCTTCACAATTATGTAGTGCTTTGATTTAAATCTGTTCATGACTAATGGAACCGACAGAATAAGTAGTAGATTGGTAGCAGGAAGCTGTCATTTAACTCCAGTGTCTCCTCTCATGTTGCAGTAGATGAAAATAAATTGTGAAATTGTCTTTGGTTTTCTGATGCCATTGTCATGGACTGTGACTGAAAATCTCGCTGCCTTGATTTTTTAGGGGAACTTTAAGGGAAACATTTCAGATGAAAACTCATCTTTGACATAAATGTGTCTGAAAGTAAAAATCCAAAATATTTAAAAAAATTCCCACATTATGTTAAAGCCAAGGTAAATGTTTTTACAGCTACTGTTCAGTTAAAAAAGATGCTAAAACCTCAAATACAAAAATGCCATAAAGTATCAGAAAATAAATAAATTGGCTCCACCTGAACTCCTGTACTCGTACCTGCAGCCACTTCCTTCATGCATTGGGGTTAGATGTGTCACTATGGACACAGCAGCTGGTTCAGTGGGGAAGCTGCAGAAGGACAGTTGGGGGGAGGGCTGGGACTGGGAGGCAGCTCCACACTGGTTATAATTACATAATCTCAGATGGGATGTGAAGTGATGGGGGCTGGGGTCTGCTGTTGAGTGTTGCCATGGACACACTGAGCAGAAGAGGGAGTAGTTTGCAGCAGTGCAGCAGACGATGCATCGCTGAAGACTAAATGGTGTTTACACCAAAGATGCAACAGATAATAATGAAAATGACGGAGCAACCACTAATATTCTTAACTTTATTTTAATTAAACTTTTTTTAAAAAATGGAAGCTTTAAGGAAAGTATGAATTTTTCCGTCTGGTAACAGGAAAGGTGACATTACGTGATTCTCAGATTCTTATACATAGATATGTTTACGTCATTCTTTGTTTTTGTTTTGCACTCGTATCTGCACTGAGCTGGACTCAAACCCCTTCTGGTCGAAAGACGATGCCTCCAACCTACTGACTGACGACATCGGGGATGTTATGTCACATAATCCCAGGAAAAGTCTTGGCATGTGTCATCCAGGCTCCCATTACATCTGTGTCCGCGTCAACTCGGAGCATGTTTATTAGCAAAGGGAAACAAGCTCAAATCTAAATCTTCACCTGTTTCAGCTCTAATCTCACCTGGAAGCAGTTAGCAGGCAGGAAGTACTAGAGTCTGGAACATCACGGCCTACTTAGCCCATCTCCTTCCTGTGCCACAGCACACATGCACACACACAAACCCTAACACACACACACAAATTGGAAAGTCTGACACGGGAGCCTGTGGTGTTACGTTTACTTCTGGTTACTATATATCAAGTTACCAGAATTTTCCAAGATTTTTTGCAATTCATCGGTGTGTGTCGTTGTATCAGTGTGTGTGTGTATAGTACAGAACAGAACAATCAGGCTGATTGCTGTCGTTGTAATTATTGTTACACGGGCTCCACAATCACCAGAGTGATGTTAATGGCTGAAACCTCAGCTGCAGACACTGTGGTTTCAGTGCAGCTCTAATATGCAAATCTGACTGCAGTGGAAAGAATAATAATGAGCCATTAGGTTGTTAACTGCAGTGGAAAGAATAATAATGAGCCGTTAGGTTGTTGAAATAATATTACAAATCAAGACCATGATGTCATCAACATGTCCTAAAAACTAAATATATTATTATTATTGGAAACAAATGATAATGATAATAATAGTAATAATAATAAATGTTTTAGACAGGTGAGGTGGTGGACATCAGGTCCACTAACTTAAAGAACCTAAAGCTGCCAAAAAACCTCTATATGGTCTTATCTTAGCTGCAGCCTGAGCCCCCAGGAGACGGGCAGCCTGGGTAACTGCAGGAGTAAACATAGTCTGGGAGTCACATGGGCCGGCCTGCTGACAAAACAAGAGATGAACAAACACCTGACCTTATCACTGACAGTAAACCCAGACTTTAGTCTCACAGGTCTTGGGCGAACACTTCATTCAGGTGTAAAATAAGAAGTTGTGTGTGTGATTCTGAGGATCAGGGTTGTGATGTGAGACTGTCATCACCTGGGGGGTTGGGGGGAGGGTATTCCAGAAAGGATGTTCAAAAAACTTTATCCCTGATCTGAATTAGCTCAATCAACTCATGAATGGAACCCTGATGCCACGAGGAACAACTGGAGAACTTATTTCCCCCCGATTGAACTGAAGGTGTTAATGCACGTAGTTCGCTGTAAAAGCAACACCACTGCAGCAGCGGAGGAAAGAGAGAGAGCGAGAGAGAGAGAGACGGCGTTCTCTCAGATTGGTACAGGATGGCCCGTCAGATTTGCTCAAATAATTCAGGCCAAAATATGAATGAGTCGGATTGGTCAATTGGTGTCGAGCTTTATTCATATGGGAGGAGACAGTCAGAGTGAGCAGGTTATGTTCTGAGAGTCTGTTTCCATGGTGACTGAGTTTCAGTTAATAACTCAGGGTTTCCCTCATCTCAGCATTAACTTACCCTGAGTTTCCACATACCCCGCTCTCTGGAATACCCCCACCAGTGTCAAATACACGGATTGTTCCACAGGAAAACATTGTGAATCTAAAATAAAAAGTATTAATTTTTCAAATCAGACCTGTGGTCCAGAGGTCTGACAGTAAAGGAAACATTATTAACACCTAGAAGTCACAGCTGGGGGCAGAGTGCTACATAGAACAACAACAACAACAACAACAACAACAACACCGTAGTCGTCCACACTGATGGGAGAAGACGTCTCTGCTTTATTTCACTACAACTGACCTTCTGGCAGGTTCTTTTTTGCCATCCTGAGCTCCCATAATGCAGCTGGGCAGAAGGAGGCACTTGCCAATGAGTTTGTTTGTTGCTTTTTAAAAACAACTCAGGCCCCTCCTCTCCTCTTTCTACCAGGCATACAAGGCTGCGCTTTATCTCCCCACTCTGTTGGTCTTTTTCTGCTACGTGCACAACCTAATGAGGCAGAAGGCCAGCAGTGTGCACGTGCCATCCTGGCCTATTATGCACACATTTACTGGCTCGCCCACAAACAGTCGAGCAGGCAGTGAAGGAAAAGAACTCACTTGTTTTCTTCCCCTCTCTCTCTTTCTCTCTCTCTCTCTCTCTGCCCTCGCTCTCTCTCCCTCTCTCTCTCCTGGCACATTGCTGCCAAGCGTTCACAGACACAGGCTACAACAGGGGGAAAAAAAGGGAAGATGAAAAACAACCCTGTCCGCTCTACATGCGTACGTGCTGGAGTCCACATGTATGTTCTTCACTCCTGTTCTCCCCTCTTTACAAAACACACATTCAACAGAGTAAACAAGCACTGGTCCTTTGCCATTGATTTTTTTAAAATCCAAAATACAGTTTGACACATTGTAATTAGCTAATGGCTAACGGCTTCAATTTGATGCAGTTTTTCATATTTGGTTTTTATTCATTGTGGAATGAAGGACTTCTTCATCTTAAAATAAAGTTAGTACCTGTGAGTGTACTACACACGTCGTCAGTTCTGACCTAATATCACTACATGAAGCACAGCCTCTGTTGATAAGCTACAGACAAATGTGCAGGCTTATTTGTCACCACACCTGCACAACCACTGACACAGACTCCGGCTGACAAATTACTGAGATATGACTGTAATGTGACATGCAGTACACATGCTTGGAATTCTGGTATGGATGGAATTGCAGCTATGTGCACAAACTTGTAAAAGTTTAGCAGCTGTTGGAGCTAAAATAAACTAATAAAACAGGCTAATTGTGTTGTTAAAATGGATTCCACAGTATGGTTCAAACTGTTCATTATTTAACATCATTAAGCTCCAACTCTTATCCTGTGAACTGAGCCAAAACTTCCTCCATAACAAACAGGAAGAATTTAAAGTACTGTGTACCAGAAGTTTGCTAAAGTAGCTAGAGATAACTGCTAATCCCAGGTTTGGTTGCGATAGGAAGCATCCATTCCGACAAAACACAAAGCGTACTACAGCTGTACGCTGTAATAGCATCTAGCATGCTAACAGTGTTTCAACCACATACTAGTACACATTGTAGTCCTGTCCAAGGCTAGGCAAAGCTAATGCTATGAACGATCTTGGCTTTTTTCTTCTGCGGTCTTTACAGGCAGATCTGAATGTTGTGAGTTGTATTACTGCTGGAGTCAACAAAAATAAATAATAAGAAGAGACAAAAAACAATAAAAAAGGGTGTTCACATGAACAAATACATTCTGTTAACCTCTGAAAATGTCCAAACCAATCACTTCAAATTATCTAAGTAAGGTAATAAAGCTGTAGGCTAAATCCCTGTCATTTAAGATGTTACACTGCTGTGAAATTAGGATTTTCACAGTTAATTTTCCATATGATAATTGTAGCTTGTTCTGGTACATTCCGGCTTACTCTCTCTCTTCCTCCGCTTACTCTCTCTCTCTCTCCCTCACACGTATTCACAGGCGTTGTGGTTGGAAAGTACAGAAAAACACTCTCAGTTCAAATAGCTGGAGGCCGACAGGAACAGGCTCATCTCAGGGTCACTTTTTGAAACTGCTCTAACAAGAATGTGGTGCGTGACGTCCAGCTACCTGACGGACACATAGCAACGCACCCACCACTGTTGTTTTCCCTCACTGCTCACAAGGTCAGACTCATACGCACTATCGCACGTCCATTCAGTGGAAAGGCCTCAAATGTCCAGTGTACAAACACCTGTGCACCCTGCGTGCGTGTACACATACACACACAAACTGTATCCAATAAACGGTGTGGAAACACACTCAGTCCAACTTCACTTGTCAACAGCTGACGTCATTCTCTGAGCTGCGTCACAGCCCTATTTTCTCTATTGATCATGTGTCCTGAGGATTGAATGGGGTCTGTACGAGATATGACACATCCCTGTGCTTAGCCCAGTGAAAACAACAACAGCAGTAACTGCCTGCAGCTCAGTGTGACACCACAACTGGCAGTGATCAGTAACAACCAGCAGCAGCAGCAGCGCTGCAAATAACAAACACCACAAATATGTTTTCAAAACATCAAGAACAGTAGGAGGATTCTTGTTACTCTTGTTTGTTGTTGAAGTATAATTCTTCTGTCTTTGTGCGTGTACTTTCTGTATTCTCTGCCAGCAACGCAGCAGCGAGGCAGGCCTGCTCTGTCATGAGGCTTGTTTACTTCAAGGCTGGTCACGTTTTACAGCAGACACGTGCTGCTTTCACATGCTGGGGGAAATACTGGGAAATGACAGCTACCCATGGTCTGAAGAGGGCTGCAGGGAAACTGTCAAACGCTGGCTGGAGCTCCTTGTTTTCCTTTAAAACCACGAATAACAACGGCACTGTGTTTGTGTTTTTTGTGCTTTAGTTATAAGTAGGCCCTGTCTGTTGGGAAACAGCAGCCTGGGAGAAGCAGCCCAAAGCAGCATTAGCACCTCCTACTTTGAAATTTGAATCTAAGGGAAATGTGTGTTTTTATGTTCACTGCTCTGAACCTGACTGCCAACTGTACAGGAAAAGAAAAAAAAACGTTCTCAATACCTCAATAACACCTCCCCCCCCCCCCCCCCAAACTTTTCAAACAAACCCCCCCCCCCCCCCCCGGTAAAGTTTTAAAGCAAACTCCCATTCAGACAGCGTGCCTTACCTTTAGCAGTAGTGGCCGCCTCTTTAAAACCCAAACAGACATATGGAGTGCTGTGTAATCCAGTAATATCTCCTTTGCAGCTGCCTGTGGGTTTGAAGCCAACTAGGTCATCACATTTCTTCACATCCAGGTTCACAGCGATGTAGTTCAGCCCGCTGGGGTAACCGGCCGAGCCCCGGCGTGTCACCGGGCTCCCGTACTCTTCGTCTGAGCCTTCACTGCTGCGGGAGGAGAGGTTCTCCACCGAACTGGGCCTCTTCACTGTTTCACCATGAGCGAAGGAGGGTAAGACCGGTGCCACAGTGGCAGTGGAGGAAAAGGTTTCTGAGCTGTGGCGCCGACGCCCCTGTGGATTGGCCCGAATCACCTTGACGGAGCGATCGGGGTCTACAGATGATGTAGCCCCGTGCAGAAAAACCCCCATGTGTTCTGGACTGGACTGGTCTTCCACAGAGAGTGCCCTCATTCTGCTGGCCTTGCTGCAGAGGATCAAAGAATCAAAGGAAACATTTCTCAGTAATATCCTGTTATTAGTAACAGTAACAGTAACAGTACAGACTACTCCCTAACCACTGCTGCAAAAACAGGTTATACCTACACCTTCAAAGGTAACAGACCACAGGTGTATTTATTCATGAGTAAACACTTAGGAGGATTATCCTTTCAGACAAAGTCAAAATAATACTGAGCTTTTTTTAATGACACATCCTGCAGCTGCACTATTGAAATAAATAGCAGTAAAATGTACGACTGCGCTGACGATTCACACACCTGGCCGTGCTGTGAGGGACCAACTGTGGAGGGGAGCTGGTCATACTAAAGGTCATCTCCGTGTAGTCACTTTTCACCACCTTGTCTAGCTTCTGAGCCACCTTCACACTGGCTGGATGGTAAGCAGCCTCCTCCTCCTCTGAACAGGGACACATGGACAACACTTGGAGCGTGTCCAGATGCTCAGCAGGAGTGTCAGCCTCCTTTGGTGAGTGTGAGCCCAGCTCCAGGTTTGTGTAGTCTGTCAGAGAAGAGCTGCCGGGGCCTTCGCCACAGGAGCCAAGGGATGAGGGCTGGCTCTCTGTGGACGCTGCAGGGGGCGCCGAGAATCTGGTGCTGCTGAAGTCAATGTTGATGTACTCCCCGGGGCTCCGGGGCTCTCCGGGCAGAGGGTGTTCGTTCATGCTGGGGAGCATCCTCAGGGTGTCCAGGGATAACCTGTTGGGGCGCCCCAGCCTCCCTCTGTAGGACAGAGCCTCTGCTCGGTTGTGCCTGACAGGAGAGGGTGCTGATGGGCTGGTCTGTGCCGTGTGGCCTGCACTGGGCTGCATCACTGAGTAATAATCGGACTCTCCAGACTTCGGTCTCAAACTCTGGGGGCTCATCAACACATACTGGTTGTTTTCTTCGTTGTTTGAGGCCTGGAACTTTGACGGTAGTGTGACGGCAGCGGCCTGGTTAGACGACCTCGCACTTTCACCGGCCAGCAGCCCCAGGTAGAAGTCGGGGGGAGTCTGCAGGGGTGCTGGGTTTCCAGGTGACATGTTCATGTATTCACCTTGCCTGTCTGGACTCTCCATGGAGGACTTGGAGCTGCACCACATTCTCATGTAGCCATTGTCTTCCAGAGAATTGCAGCAGGGGGAGTTGGTTTTGAAGCCCCCGCTGACAGCAGCCTGAGAGTGAAGCCTGGGATTGACAATCTGCTTAGGTGCTGAGACACACATGGGGCTCATGGGAACGTAGTTTTCTGCCTTTCCAGACTGTGGTGCAACACCTGGAGTCATCGGCATGTAGCCTTCGTCAGCAAGGTTACTGCTGGAGCTCCTGGATGAACCGATTTCAATGTCTCCGTAGTCCTCGGGGTAGGACACTTTGGGTGAGGCAGAGTGACAGTTCTGTCCGTGGGCCAACCTCATCAGAGTGTAGTCGTCCAGGGAGGCGGAGGACAGAGGGGTCACCACCCTCTGCTGACGGGGCGTAGTGAGGGAGTGTGTTCTCTTCCTGAATGCCTTGTCAAATACGTGAGCGTCACCTCCACCACGTGACCTCCCACTCGTACCTTCCATTATCATGTAGCCATAAGGGTCGTTGACGTCCCGTGACGGCGGTGTACTGGACAGAGACTCGGGCGTGTCGCTGCGCGTCAGTGGGAGGAATCTTTGATCACATGGACTGGAGCTGTAGTCACCACACAGTATGAAGCTGGTGTCACTGAGAGAGCCAGAGATGGAGGCACTGCAGCTGAATGGCCGCCTGGTTTTGTCAGGAGTGGAGATACTGGCGCCCCCTCTGGGGGACATGCTGATAGGGCTGGATGCAGCTGGTGGAGAGTGGGACATTGTCATGGAGCGACTGTGATGCAGGTTGGACTCGAGCATTCTGCAGGTGCGTCCACTGCTGAGGGTGTGAGACCTGCTCAGGTGGTTCCCAGACTGTAGGCTGCTGGGACTCCCATTCACAGGTATGGACATGGACAAGGGCCGGGACACAACACCATCACCCTCACTGGCTGTTCTTATGCGGCAGGACGTGAACTTTCTCACCGGAGACGAGGCTGCCATGCTCTCCGTTCTGGACCTCCTGACCAGGCCCGTCTGACTGGGTGGGGGGTTGTTGAGGTTGCGTCGTGTGGGCACAGAGATGGGATTAGTGCTCGCTGATTGGCTTTTGCTGCGCGGCCTGAACTCCGAGAGCTCCTTCATGGCCTTCATGGCCTCAAGGATGGTTTCATGGATGTTCTGGGCCACCACGGAGTCCTCGGCCTGCATCCAGAACTCCCCGGGCCCGGTCACCGCTGACCTGCCGACTTCCATGAAGAAGAAGTTGTCTGAGTGACCACATCTCCGGATGTTCATGAGCTGCAAAGTGACAGCTGCCGTTTCAGAGTTCAGTTTGACGAAGCTGAGGGTCCGGCTGGACAAACACAGCCTGTAGACTCCAGTCAGGTTCTTGATCTGACCCAGGCCTTTGGCTTTCATGTTGACCTGCCACACCTCCTTATACGCTGCAGTTGTGGGAGAGATGAGTCCGTAACTGGCCTCTTCAAAGCCCACCAAAGACGAGGTGGACGTGGGGCTGTCGTACACTTTGCCCTCGGAGATCAGCTCAGTTAAGACCTTGTACCAGCCCTCCTGCTCCTGTTCGTTGTCTGCAGCCACAGCGAAGTACTCGTCCTTGGTGTAGAGGGCGATGAGGTGCTTGTGTTTGGCGTCGGCGCGTTTATTTACGCAGAGACACGAGTCCAAAGTTATCACCCGCTTGGCGGCGGACTTATTTTTCCATTTCTTCTCGCTTTCATAATATTCCAGGCTGGCGGGGCAGCGCTCGCTCGCCTCCCGCAGCACGAAGAAGCGCCTGTGTCCGTGTTTCTGCTTCCTCAGGTAGCCGCACTTCTTGACAACGCTCATACCGTTGGATAACAGGTGTCCCCCTCCTGCCGCCACAGGACTGGCCATTTCTCACACACTCTATGCAAAACGCTAAAACACAAAGTATTTACCAGCGGCAAGCTTCAGAAAAAACTGAATTTAAAAATTCAAAACAAGCAGATAAAAAAAAAGTGAAACCGTTTGAAATTCGAATCCATCGCGGACGCTGACGTGTGCGTGAGTGTCCGCTGTAGGCTGGAGGATCTGTGGCTGTGTGAGCGGAGCGAGAGATGATCAGATCCTGGAGAAAAACAACATGTGACACTGCTGCTGCCGCGACTCTAAAAACAGAATCAAACACTGTCACAGGAGGCGGGGCCTCCTGCGGGGGCGGTGCCTGTCCATCAACCCACTCCGACGAATCCTACTGGTCCAAACAGGGGATACGCTGCCAGCAGGTCCCGCCCCCTGCTCTTTCCAACGGTTGTAGTAGACTGAGTGAAGCAGGAGTCCATTGAGTGACACTGTATGTCCTACTGTACAACACAGTGTACTACACAGTGTACTACACAGTGTACTACACAGTGTACTACACAGTGTACTACACAGTGTACTACACAGTGTACTACACAGTGTACTACACAGTGTACTACACAGTGTACTACACAGTGTACTACACATGTGCGGTTACACAACACACAAACACAAATGTAAATTTGACATAAAACAATTTCAACTATAATAAATATAAACTATAAATGGAGATGAAATATGTATTATTTTCAATGGATAAAGAAAAGTCAACAAAAATGACTAAAAAATAAGTTTGACATAAATTTTGGGATCCATTCATGTGAGTACATTCTCGAAAGTAACATACAGTTAGGTGATTATTAAATACCTGTTTTTATTTAAATGTGATATGGTCTGTACTTTTCACATTCTTGTCGTTTATCCCTAAAATAAGCTGGGTCACACTTTTGTCTGTCTCCTCACACTGATATCGTTAAATAATTGACATTTCCCATTGTGTCTGATGACGGTGTGAGGGGAACAACACAGTGGTTGGTTGTAAACAGTTGTCTGTGAGGCAGCAGAACTGTAAACAACCGTGACGTCTGTACACATTATATAAGGAGCCTTTTTTTTTTTTAAAAAAAAGCTGTTGTTATTCCGATACTTCCCATCTTTCAGCTCCTCATTATTGTCTTTTCCTTCTGTCACATCAATGTAATTTATCATCTCTTTAAAATCCTGTCTTTCGTTGTACAAATGATCTCTTTTAGTGCAAGCGTTTGATAGGAGGAACACTGTTGTTATGGTTTCATCGTGTTTGGTGTCTGTGCCGAACATCGCTTCAAATTTACAAAAACAAACAAAAAAGAAAATGAAAAATAAAAGAAAGAAAGAAAGAAAGAAGGAAAGTAATGTTCATCCTGAATGAAAAACATCTATCTCTCACAGAGGAGAATGACTTTAGCAAATGCGTCAGTAGCTTTAAAACGACAGGAGGCCAAACAGGTGCTGCCACCTTCTGGCTGCTGTGGGTAACTGCAAAACCGGAACAGCAAACAAATGTTTTGAAAGATTATTATATTTTAAGTATAAGCAGACACACATGATCAAACGCCAACTGTGCGTTAACTTCGTGATTGTTCATTAGTTCCAATTCAGAAATGATGTCGTCAAACATTTAAAGGTCTATCATGTGCAACACTATAACAAGACGTTTTAGGTGCAAACATTGTATTAATTATCTATACTGGTTGACTTTTAATTACTATTTCTATAGTATAAGTTTGATCAATCAAATATATTGTTCAGTGGTTTATTGTAGTCAATGATCCTGATATGTCACTTGCATTCTTAAATACTTTCAATTTAACAATTTTATGATAATTCTTGTGGAAATATCTAATCTTTAAAATAGTTCAAAAATATTTTTGGTTTATAAATATAAACCATTTCTGATAAATGACAAGTCTGTGTTTGTCCAGTACTGTGTTGTGGCTGAGGATGGACAGGAAGGAACGAACAGACATCTGTTCATCAGATCATCTTGGTAATTATATCAGTCATTCTCTCTCTGTGATCTTAGGGAGCATCACTACACACACACACACACACACACACACACACACACATGCTTGTATCTAATTCCATAATCTTAAAAAAAAAAGCAGATTACACCGTGTAAAAACAATACGGTCCGGTGTGAAGAGATCATGACAGGAGTGTGTGTTATTGGGGGTTGTAATCAGCACATCTGCCTCCATTGAACAAACACATTCACACTGCAGATTAGGGATAATCCAGGAAAGATAATCCTAATGATTATTGTTCTTATTGCTGCAGGTTGTTTTTGTCAGTCAGTGTGTGTGTGTGTGTGTGTGTGTGTGTCTCCAGTATTGTTGCCCCTTCTGTATTTTGACCACAAGGGTTCATTTAAGACCCATAGTAACATGTGTTTTCAGCATTAGCCACAGCCTATAATCTCAGATTTGAACAACAACAAACACCTCCAGGACTCAGTGACTCTTTATATAAACAGCTCACGTCACAAAACAAAGGCCGACATGGACAATGGTGTTATTGTACAGAACAGACAGATGTCACTGACACCAGAGGTGTCCTGCTGCACGCTGTTGTTTTTGTATGGTGTGTTTTGCAGGTGTGAGGAGGACAAACACACTGAACCACTGATCTGGGTGTTTTTGTTTACAAACCAGCGTCCTCCTGAAAACAAACAAAAAACTGAGAAGTGTCAAGTGTGTGGCTGATTCTACAAACATAGGGGGCGAAATTAGATAAAAGATAAAAAAAACAAAACAAAACAAAAAACAAGTGATGCCAGAATTTGCAAAACATTTAGCAAAAACCCAGATAAACAAGAGGTTATATATAAACACATGACCAAATTAACAAACAAACAAGAATTAAGAAAAAAAAACAACAACTGAAAGATGTAACTCTTAAAGTTAGCCTCAGAATCAGATCAAAAGTAACTCAATGTTAGGTTTGGCTGGTAAAATTGAATTAATACCAACATCACAGATTCACTACCCAGCATGCACCTGGGGTTAGAGCTGAAGCTGGAGCACAGCAAACACTCCAGGTGGATGTTCAGTGAAGCATGCAGCTGAAGAAGGT